TTTATAATAATCAGAAAGTATATATTATAAATTTACTTTTTAAAATAATTTTTATTAACATCATCTAATTAAATTTAATTTTATTTCTTTATAATAACCAGCACGTAAGCATTATATTAATATATTATTAATTTACTTTTACAACATAAAATAATTTCTATTAAAAACATCATCTAATTAAATATATTTTTTATAATAATCAGTTGGCAAACGACAGAGAAATGATGAATAAAAAATAACAATAATAAATTATTTATTATTCTTTATAAAGTAGAAATGCTAATATGAATATAATGTCAGACTATTTTATGAAAAAAATTTTAATGAAGTTTTATTCATGAAAATAGACAAAATTCAAATTTTATATCTTTCATAAATAAATATCTATTGAAAATTGGTATGAGAGCAGTTTATAATCTGTTTTAAAACTTGGTGGCAGTTTTTTTGCCATTACTATGCTCAGCATAGTGGACATTCATTTTACCACTTGTGACAAAATTGATCATTGATCTTTTTGTGTTGTGAAACTTATGGCAAGCCAAAATGGACAAAAGGTTGTTTGAATTAAATGGTATAGTTGGGCCAGTCTAAAGACCTCCTAAATTTTGTGCAAATTTTATTTCACCATTTGATTCATTGTCAGATGATAATTCAGATTCACTTGAACCAATTATTGTTTCAGAGTCATAAATTATTTCATCATCATTATTTACATCAAAATTAAAATCTTGTAAGCCTATGCTTTTTTTAAATGAGTATTTTGTTTTTTAGGAGGCATTGTAAGTTTAAAAAATAATTTGTTTGATCAATGTTTTGTGTGTGTATTATTGATTTAAAATGTTTAATTATGTTTTGTGCAAGGATGATGATTTTCTGCTTTAAGCAGAAAGCCACAGAAATTGCAGAAGCATGTATCAAAAGCAGAAATGCGAAGAATTATATCTAAAATTGGTTAGGTGCTGGATATCTTTCTATTTTTGTAACTGACTCTCACACAAGGTGAATACCTTACTATTTTTATAACAATTTAATTAAAAAAAAATTTCCATTTGTAGGAAGACATCTTTATCATTTAAATGCTTTTTTACAAAGCAAATGTAATTCTTCTGATTTTGGGTTTGAAATTGATTTAACTATAATTTCTCATAATTTTAATCCAAGTGATTTTTACCCTAATTTTCATGTAGCTTTTGAAGCTGCTCTTAACAAATTTAATGCACATATTCCTTCACATCCTGCTCATCCCCTTTTTATTTTACTTGGTCCTTTGGAAAGAAAAAACTTATGTCAATATAGATCAATCAAAGAATTAGAAAATCCTTCTAATGAATTACTAAATGAATGGGCAATTTATTGTGGAATGCAAATGGATGATTTAATTGATGAAATAGATTTAAATGAATATTGGATAAATATTCAAGATCAATTGCCAATTCTTTCTGAAATTGCTCTGGAATACATATGGTTGCTGATATCTAGTTGCAGTTTAGAAAGACGTTTCTCAATATATAACAATATTTAGATAGCAATAGACAAAATTTTTCAGCAACTTCTTTAAAAACTCTATTTAATTAATTGGAGGGTTTTTTTTTATTTTTTTAAATAAAATAAGATTTATGGCAGAATTAAGCAGAATTGCAATTTTAAACGCCGCAGAAGTATGCAGATTTTGATTTTTTTTCGCCGCAGAAATTCATCGTCCTTGCGTTTGTGGGATATAGTAGAACCAGGACTGTTTTTGGTGCATATGCACGCTTACATTATGCAAACAGCCATGTTTCTCGGCGAGAAAAGAAATATAGGAAAATGATCGATAGATTTAAACACCAATATCCGAGATATTGTGTGATTTTTATAAAATAAAAGGGTGTTATTATTGTTATTGGATTGTAACGTCAACATTATTGCTATTACTATTAATTACTATTATAATTAATATATACTATTACTATTACTATAATTACTATTGATATTAACGGATTGCCGGACCGGGTTGTAACAGATAAGGTCTTAATGGTCGTAACACCAACAATAAGAAAATTTGATATACATACCAAAATAATCGCATTTCAACGAATTTTATATTAATACGTTTGTAAAATTTTTAAAAATTTGTTGTAACGCGAATCTAATTATTATTATAGTTTGAAGTTTGACTATCTCATTTTGGTTCAAACTTTAATAATTATCAAAAGTTGAAATTATTTTTGACCAAAATCATTTCGACTTATTTCGACTTTATTAAGATTTTATCAAAAAATCGAACCTGTTTTCATTTCTACCATCCAAAAAGTCGAAATTGTCTGATGTCTACTTCACTATCATATATCGATCCGACGGATAATCCGTCCAATTAGAGGTTGCACCCAATGAATAATATTCATTGAAAATTGCGTCCAAATAAATTCATCTGTTTGTTCATTTCTAATTAGTTAAATTAATTATTTCATTTAAGATGAAAGAAGAGCCTTCAGTTACTATAATAGGATAAAGTAATAATAGAATAATGAGAGCCTTCTTGTGCTCATATTTTGAAGAAAAGGCTGCAGAATTAGATGTGAGATTATTGGATAGTGGTAACAATTAGGATGAAAGGATGCAATTAAAGCTT